TTAAATAGACCGCCAGATTGAAAGGGTGCGCTTGGTTAGTGATTATGGAATAATGTCATGTGTGTATAGCAGCGCCGCTCGAGTTAACCTGCCTGAACTAGTTTGCAGGGCAGGCTTTGCTCCATTTTTCACTTGAATTATTTTATTTCTTTATGCCTGCCTTTTGTAACTGCTGATTTTGACAAGTGCTTTATTATTATTATTATTATTATTATTATTATTATTATTATATCGTATACTAAAAGTGTGTTTCCATTTTGTGCTTCTTTATATTTCTACTCCTTTATATTTCCGATGGAAGTATTGTACTTTATACACATTTATCTGATAGTTACTTTGTACATTTAGATTTTTCAAATAAAACATATGAAGAAATGATAAAATATGATGCAACATTAAACTGCTGCTTATTATGTTGACGCATCAAAAATAATCTAATAGTATATGTAACCGTTTATAATTCAGAAAGATGTCATCCTGCATTAGGAGTACTTTTATGCTTGTTTAGTATATTTACATAAAACATCTGTACTTTTATTAGCTACATTTTGAATGCAATGTCATGACTTTAATATTGTGTTATTGCTACTTTTACTTAAGTAAAAGCCGAACCTGACCTCCCATGGGGCCTAAGCAATACTCTGCTATGGGGCCCTCCAACCAATCTGTCATCGCTGCACAGTCACACCTGACACCCCAGTGCTCCCACTACAATCCTCTCTCCTTTAAAACAGTTTGCTCCATCTGTCGGCCTAAGAATGAGAAGATCTATACCGAACAGAATGAGGTACAAACAAATAATATTGATTCAACAGAATCTAGAAAATATAACACGTTGAAAATAATAAAAACTAAAAACTGAGATTTGGCTCTGCTGCCTGGTAATTAGTCCAGTCCTTACAGAGTTATACACTTATATTTGTCTATACAATGTAACCATACATCTACAGGCTCTGACTGCAGCTTAAAGGCTGAACATATCTGCATCATGGCTTGTCTGAACACTTGATGGTTATTATTTACTGTGTATCCATATTGCCCAGTATGCCAAGCTAATCCACATTTAAATTCAATATGTAATCAATAGTCAATGTCAATCCTTTGCTTGCGTCTCGCAGTACAGAACTGTAACTCAACGTCGACTGAGAGAGTCGATATCCATTATCTTGTTTCAAAATGATGTGCGTCTGTGAGGGGAGCCATCACACCCATATACTGTCTGGTTGGTGTTTATCAAACGTTACAAACAGTCGTATTTCACTCAGCTGTGTGTCGGCTGTGAGTGAGACAGGCAGGGTGGAGAGACACGCTGCACATTAAATTAACGTTACTGTTATTGACTGACAGCAAACATGGAGAGAACACAGGTTTATCTAATACCTGTTCCCACAACTCACTCTCATGGTGTTTTTTTTCTGCGCTTTCCTTTGCCGGATAGTCCGCTCATCCCCTCTTCCACCTTGTAAACACTGACACCTGCTTTGACACGAGGGGGGAGGCGGGGCCCTTACAAATTTGCGGGGCCCTGCGCAGCTTGCGTAGTGTTAGTATGGGGGGGCTCTGAGTTAAAGACCCGAATGCTTCTTCCACCACTTGTAAGCACAGACTGTTGTCCACCTGCTATAAAGCGCTCCTGTTACTTTAAGAGGAAAGTGAAAGCACCTGAATGGGTCCTTGCTGAAACTTAAAACCAGGAAATGTGTCTGAATACGAAAGAACAACACACATTTCATCAGACCATCTCATTACTCTCATAACTGTCAGTGCAGTTGATTTTCTACTAAAAGAGTTATTTGTGCTCTGTCTGCTTGCTCTGGTTAGATTAAAGTATCGCAACAGCAGCTCTGACATGGCTGCAGCTCTTAGATCCTGTCCCTATGCTCCACTCAGTCCTCTGTCCATCATATGAAAGCAGCTGCATGGGTATCTGATATAGTGTTATAAATCTCAAGTTTAGCTTTTCCTGTGGCCATTTTTTGCTGTGTATTTCTGAGGTTATCTTACCCACGCTTGTTTCTGCCATGGCTCCTGCTTCATCGAGCTCATAAGCTCCACCTTTTCCTAGTAGATGTCACTGGGCAGAACAAACCAGAAAGAAACAGTGTGTGTGTCAGAGCAGCAGTATGACAGCTTATTGATCTGTTCTCTAAGGTTATACACAGGACATATGCTAATATAATATTGACTGCTGTCAGTTAGTATAGCCTATTAAATATACTTTTTGATAATTGCACTGATATCCAGCCCATCTACCACCAAAATATGAGAGTGTGGACTAAAAACTCATCTTTGCTTTACCAGCATCACATATCACATTTTCATAACCATAATAGAACAATAGAAATAGAACATATTGTAATGCATGATCTTTTTTACTTTTGTGATAATTTAATAACAACTAAATTCAGGTTATAGTATGAATAGTGTTCATTTGCAATGGTTGCAATAACCTGACTTTTTTTTAGTCATAGTGCGCCTCCTGCTGGACTAGATGTATGTAGATCTCTGATCAAATGGAGAATAAGTGTCATGGAGAACTCAGATCATAAGTGCCTTTTTTCAGCTTTTAAC